GTCCTTTAATGGGAATGGAATATCACTTTAAATCAGTTCATGATTTGTAGACACAACGTGGCCTCCTTAAATAGTAATAAAGTCCTTTTAAACAAAAGGTGCAAGCATCCTTTAGAAATAATACTCCAATTAAAAGTCTTTGTATTACTGGGATATCTGTATCCAGAAGGAGAACCAATAAACACGCACTTAGTTCTTATTCACTTAATTCAGGATTTGGATAAATTAATGCTTTATGTTTACGTTAGAGCAAGATTTTATAGGTTTTATAAGCAATAGCAGTGTCTTGGAGTCCGAGGTCAGGATTGGAGAGAATGGCAGAAACAAGGTTACAAGAAGAGGTTTGGTACACAGGCACAGTTGGTAATATTGAGCTCAAACAGCAATATTAAATCGCTGGAATCAAAATTGAGTGAGCGATTCAATAGTGTCACGAGTCGGACTAAAAAAGCGGGCATATGCATTACCTATGCCCAACAATAGTGACTGTAGTTACCCAAATATCAGGAGCCTTTTAATATGGAAATACCCCATACTGAGAGAGCACACTTCACATAATTTCATGGCAAATGTGATAAACTTTCGTTGGGTGAGACTGGGGAGACAATATGTCCCTAATATCGTCTACAAAATAAACGGGGGAGGGGAAATCCATCACCCATGTACTTACCCTGTTACAGAAAAGGGAAAACAATTATTATGCAATATGTCTCAATTTTGATATTCCCTCCCTGCTAACTATAGATGATGACATAGATGGACGGCACCTTAATAAAATCCTCATTGCAATTTCATTTAAAAAGACCTGTCTCAATGCAATGGCTGAGATAAAAAATTGTACATGACTAACACCTGGTGGATTACCATTTCTGATTGGTTTGGATAAACAATGAATTTGCCACTAACTATACATTATAAGCAGGATCAGCATGTGGCAGTCACTGTAAAACCGCATGTCTACTAACATACATTTCCATTATACACCACTGAGATTCCAACACTATTTTAGCTTTTGATTCTATTACTGAAGTAAAACAAAAAATTTAAGTTTCAAGGTACGTTAATGGATTAAAGTATGTTTTTCTGATGTTAGAAGTCAATATTATTATTCTCTCAGATCCATTATTCTTTCAAACTGAGCTATGATGTCCAACACGAATAATTCACACACACACACACACACATATATATACACATACACACTCGTGTATATATATATATATATATATATATATATACACACACACACACACACACCAATCAATAGTTAATGTAATTGTACATTGATCGTTAAAAAGAGAGGCAGATGCAGTACATATTTGACATTCATACATTACACAAAATTCTATGCAGTCCACTTTTACAAAATAAGACTTTGACTATAAAAATATAAAAAACATGCAACATCCAGCACTCTCACTGGGGGTTTAGGCACAGTATATGGTTGTGACAGGGGCATAAAAAGGCCGAAGCAAGAGTGTAAGGAGAGTAGGAAGGTGTACCAAGGTGTAAGAAGAGGAAAAGTCGGTTGAGGTGTGCCGGAACTGACGTACCAGTAGGCCTGTAAATAAAGAGGGCCCACCCAGTAAGGAGTAAAGAAAGTATAAAAAAGGGAAAGGAGGGTAGGGTCAAGCAACGCTAAGGAACAAACGGGACAGTTGGAGGTGAGTAGTGGGCTTAAATAGGGGACCATGCCCCTCCCACAACTGCAGGCCAAGCTTTTGCATTTGTGATAGGGGCATTAAAAGGCCGAAGCAAGAGTGTACGGAGAGTAGGAAGGTGTAGCAAGGTGTAAGAAGAGGAAATGTCAGTTGAGGTGTGCCGGAACCGACGTAGCAGTAGGCCTGTAACTAAAGAGGGCAAAAATAAATACAGTCTAGAAATTATTACAATCAACAAAAATAAGAGCATGAATTACATAGACATAGTATGAAAGGCGTGTCTGAGTTCTTGTACTGGTTGTGGTATGTACAAAGAGTATGCGGAGGACTTCCAACGACCTAGTGTTTTGATTAAATGTACAGACATGTTCTTGCTAGAAGCCGTGGAAGCCGCCCCTATTCTGAAAGAGTGGCTAGAATAGTCAGAAGGGTTGAGACCTAGCCTTGTGATCAATGATCGGACGTAAGTTATAAATTTAGTTGTGGTAAGGACTGACCCATGTAAAGTTAACAGTGGCTGGGAAGCTTGGATATTATGAGTCAATAGAAAGGAGTTTAGAATCTTAACAGGGCACCATTTGTTGTTATGTGTCGGGTAACAGGGTATGTTAATGTCTTGACCATCCTGTGTGGTTTTAGTGTGAGGAAGTGCAAGTACATAATAGTCTCCCAATTTAACTAGGTGAGACCTCCTGAGGCAATATTGTAGGTTGGTCGTGGTAGTTGTGGTAAATTCACAGGGTCTAAGAAAACCGTAGAAAGCCAGGTAAATTGCAGTTTTAATTACGTGGTCGGTGCGAGGATCAAATGGACCCACATCTAAAAGGTCTGAAAGAGAGTGTAGTAATTGGATGTCAATGGGTAACGTCTTATGTGTTGGGGCGTGACCGGTTTTCTGAATGCCTCTAGGTACGGATTTGATTTGGTATGAAGACATGAAGCTGTGTTTGTTGGGAAATAAAAGCAACATGTGATGTTGTAGACCTGATAGGCACAACTTGATGGTAGTATGTGATAGTGCGAGTTTAAGGTGGCAAAAGGAAGCAAAACCTACCATAGTCGACATAGCAAAAGAATCAGTAATACCATATTCCAATAAAAACCTCTTAAACAAAGAGAAGGCCCTGTCATAAGCCCTGCGTGTGTTAGCAGAAAGAGACAGTCGGGCAAGATGACGGCCGTGGGACAACATGGCGGTCAGTCCATGATCAGCTCCTGAAACAGAGGGGCGGCAGTGGCAGTGGGGGAGGCCGTAGGCAGAGCAGCGCGGAAGGCCTGAAATTGAATCCGAGACAGCCTGTCAGCAGCAATATTCGTGACACCTGGCACATGAATACAGGTCAGAAAGAAATGATGACTAGCCGCCAGCCATGTCAATTTCCTGAGGAACCTCATAATAACAAGAGAGGAAGAATTCCCTTTATTAATGATGTGGCACGTGGCCTGGTTGTCCGAGAAACAGCGAACAGGACAACCCGACCACGCCCGACCCCAAACCACAGCGGCTGCTACAATGGGGTAAATTTCAAATAGAGTGGAGGTAGTGGAAAAACCCTTGATGCCCAGGACTTCTGCTGGCCAAGCACCCCAGAGCCACTCAGAACGGTAAATGGCAGAGAAGCCGGTAGTGGCAGATGCATCCATCCATATCGTGGGTGATGCCTCCGAAATTTCGGGTAGGAACATACTCTTCCCATTCCAGGAGAGCAAGAACCTCCGCCACATGAGCAGATTCGCTGTGGCATGATCATCGAGCGTGATCAGGATATCATGGTGAGGGAGAGTGGGAAACAGGGAAAGCAGCCGAGATATAAATGCCCGACCCTGCGGGATAATCCTCATAGCAAAATGTAATGACCCTAGCAAAGATTGTAACTCCCTCCTGCAGCAAGACCTGGTGCGAATATAGTCATGAATGCACGAGAGTATGTGAACTATTTTTTCCTTGGGCAGACTGGCCTGCATTGAAACCGTATCAAGCGGAATACCCAGGAAAGTAATGAAGGTGTCCGGACCTTCTGTTTTGTCCATGGACAACGGTACACCCAGCAACTCGAAAAAGGCAGCCTCCTTCAGACTACATGGGGGGAACGTGTTCTCCTCAATCATAAGGAAGTCGTCCAGGTAGTGGATGACTGTGGGACACCTATTAACATTAAGGAGCAACCAGAAGAGGGTCTCAGCAAAGATGTCAAACGGTTTCGGGCTACTTTTGGAACCGAAAGTAAGACAAGAGAAAAATTAATACAGGCCCTTCCATTTAACATAGTGCAGGTGCCAGAGCGTAGGGTGTATCGGCAAGAGCTTAAAAGTATTGACAATGTCAGTTTTACTGAGTCAAGCGCCCTCCCCAGCTTTAAGGATAGCTGAAAAGGCATTATCAATTGTGGAAAATTGTAGCGAAAATTCCTCAGATGAAAATAAGGAATTTAGACTATGAATTGCTCCCGAATGAGGGGCGGAGAGATCGACTATCAACCTCTGCTTCAAGGAGGACTTACCGGTCACAATACCAATAGGGTTAGTCCTCCATGAAGTAAAAGGCGGTGCCTGGAAAGGACCTAAAAGAAAACCCCCAGGAGTGAAACCAGGTCTCTTGTTGTATTAGAAAGTCAACCGCCTCCGGGTGATCCAGAGCCGATTGCAGGTTTTTACACTCAAAGATACCGGATGGCATATGTATGATGCCTGTATAGAAACCCTCGGAAAAACAAGAGACCAAGAAATCAACCAAGTGCATGGATGGGTGAGAAGACAACATGGCTGATAAGGCAGACACATTAACAGAGGTCAAGTAGAGCTTGGGAAACAATTTATTGGGGCACATAGTAAGCACATGAGCCTGGAAGCACTTGGAACAAAGGTGCAGAAGCCTACAGGTGCTAAAACTGCAGGTACCAGCATTAAAGTTATTACAGACCAGGGACATCCCCAGGAAGAGTATGGGGTGACCCAGTTTGTCTTTGATGACCTTATCAGGCTGCGGGGAAGGGGAGGGAACAACAAGGCCGGAGGAAGCCTCGGCCATATTGGGACAGAGGTTCGTGGAGTGAGATGTGGAGGAGCAGATGACACAAGCGAAGTGCCTGCAGAACAATTCCATGTCCAGCTTAACCCAGTTTAACCGGGCACCAAACTGGGTGAAAGCTGCAGACACCTTGGCGGAGAAAGACCTGTGGTAGTCGTAAAAAGATGTACCACCGTATTTTTTGCCCAAGTCCACCAACTTATGCATGTAAAAGTCCAACTCCTGCCTCCTAGTTGGGTAGACCGAGCACAAGACATCCCTGAAAAGCCCAATCGCCAGTACAAAGTCTGGGACAGAGAGCTTCCTGTTAAGCCTGGGCTCCCGGGCCTTGATCACAACTGACAGATCCCTATAGGCATAAGTCTTGTTCTCAACGATATCTTGAGAGGCAATGAGGAGTGAAACCAGGTTCACATCCTTGACATCCAAGATATCCTTCCGAATATTGGCCCGGGACCATGTGAGCAGGGTCAACATCAAGAGGGGTATGAATACTACACGACAAATTACCCTGCCAGCCGAGGGAGGGTCAGCTGGAACTGGAGCGGGAAGGCTGGCCAGCGACTCGACCCGAGAGGCAGTCTCCAGTCTGTCCAGCCACTGGTTGATTTGCCCCATGGATGCCACGAGAGAAGACAACGTGGAGTGCACATCAGAGAGGTCAGCGCCACTAGGGCCTTCTCCAGCGTCTGCATGGGACAAGGAGGAATGCAGGGTAATGGGTTCTGACGTCTCTGAAGTTCTGCTGCGAGACGAGGAACAGACTATGATCTGAAGGAGGCAGGCGTAGCCAAATCTCCCCTGTGAGAAGGAGTACCAGACCTAGCTGGAGTACCGGGCAGGAACAATTCTTCGCCACCTTCTGGAACTTGATCCATGCTAAAAAGAGAGAAGCGATAAATTAGAGCTAGAAAAAGGACCAGCGTATATGTAGGACCAGTGTGAGCTGGTTAGCTAGCTAGTTCTGCAAGGTGGCGAAACAATTAAACTAGGTTGGTGACACGTGAGGCCCTGCTAGATGCCAAGGGGCTGGAGAGGCTCTATCTATGGTTGGCACAAGGGGATTTTGTGGCCACTGAATGTTGTGGCGGGGTGTCGGCCTCTCAGTGACCAGTAAAGCATAAGATAGAATGAGAGTGACAGGTGAGGCCCTCTAAATGCCACGTGCGAGGTGACTAACTATGATTTGGCCCGAGGGGCGTAGTACCTCCGAGTATGAGGATGGGTGTTGGTCTCGCGAGACCACTAACCTAAGGCGAAGAAAGCCAGGGGGGGGATTACCACTAATGGGCACCTAGAACCCTGACAGCCAGCCACCTCTAGACTAGGTGGAATAGCGAAGTGCGAGACAGGACGTACCTGGGGAAACGTGTAACGACACCATAGGGGAGGTGCGAGGCAGTAACGCAAGGCAGACCGTATCTGGAGTGCGGAGTAAGCACGTCAGACCAGGAGGTTAGGCCGTACAGAGGGAGCATGGAAATATAGAACGTGTATTGGTGTATGGCCACCCAGGGCCCATATGGGTCAGAGCGTGGACCCAGAGACAGAGGGAAAAAAACAAAAAAAACTAAAAACGTACCTTCCAGGAGGTAGAGTAGCACGAGAGGCAAGGAGGGCAAAACGCAGCCCAGTGAGACAGCGCACAAAATAACCTGAAAAAGAAAACAGATTAGACAAAGGCGAAGGGGGTAAAAGGAAAATTTAACCTGGACAGGAAGACCCCAAGTTCGGAAACCAGAAAAAAAAAAAAAAACACTGTCCCTTTAAGAGACAAGCTGACAAAACCATAATGGAATTTTCTCTTTTTTTTTTACTATATTGCATTTGTGATGAATGCAACAACAAAAACCACCAGTAGGGGTCAGACAGGAAAAACCATACATACCCAACCATGAGGAGAGGAGACAACACAGCGTTCGAAAAAGAAAAACCCAAAAGCACAACAAAAGAAAATAGAGAGGCGTTCGCGGAAAAAGGAGCAACAGCCAAGCAGGCACGAAACACACAGCGAGGGAAGGTAAGTAGAAAGCATGCGAAAAGAGAAAAACTCCCAAACGCCGAGACCCATTCGGGAGAAATCACATGAAACACTGAAGAACTGAAACAGTGCAGGGGACAGACACACACCGCGAGGACGCCGATGGAGTGCGTAACTTACGGCACGTGAAGCCGAGAAGACGTGTGGCTGATGGCTTGGGGCAACAGGAGAGCCGGAGCTGGACCGAAACACAGCAGCGACACAGCGGAGGACAGCTGGAACGAGAGCCACGAGGAGCAGGAAAAGGACTGAAGAGGAAAGGCGACCGGAACCAGCGTCAAGCAACGCTAAGGAACGAACGGGACAGGTGGAGTGAGTAGCGGGCTTAAATAGGGGATCATGCCCCTCCCACAACTGCAGGCCAAGCCTTCGCATTTCTATATTGCATAAACCTGCCACAATGTCAATGTACCCCATATATGGAAGGTCCTACTCTAGCACCTAATGTCTGAACGTATGAGATCAATCCTCTTGTGAAATGCTTTCTTCTGGGGCTCTGTGCAGTGCAAGGTTAAATAAAGACCTGGAATTAGGCACCTGTGACAGGAAGGGTGCAAAGCCAAGGGAGTGGGCCTGGACTCCCAAATATTTATGAAACCAAACAGGCTGCACTCACATGAACATGCATACACTATAAGGGTGCTGCTAGGGCCAATTCATACATCATACAACATGGCGAGTGCAGTCTGTTTGGTTTCATTTATATACTTTATTTTTAATTTATTTTTTTGGTAGAGAGATATCTATATATAATTCCTTATCAAACACTTACTTAATAAATAAATGTAGTTTATGCACCTGTTATTGTACATCACCCACTAAATTGCATTTTAACCATTCTCTCCTTGTATAAGAGCTAAAATGCTTTAAAACATCCAACTACCTACAAAAATACTGACAGCACATATTGTCCCAGTGTGTGTGGAACAGACGTTCAAATATTGATTTACCCTTTTCTGTATGTGCCCTGTGTTATTTGTTTGTAGAAATACAGATGGAAAGTCTAAAGCAACACACTCACATAAGGAATAAAGTCATTTATTTTGTTGTCTTCAACAGAAGCTAAATTTGCAAGACCACAAGGAAAACAGAGTGTATTTTTTCAGTCTCATAAAGCGGTATACACGGTCTAAAGTTTATTTTAACTACACTATTTTACTCAGACCTCGTTACAATAGCGAGCTTAAAATTCTGCTACTTCTAGAATAAATATTTCAATAGAGTGTACATTATGAATGTGTGCATTGGGTGAGTAATTTAACAGAGTATGCAATGAATGAGTAACTCAACAGAGTGTGCATCGGGTGAGTGATTCAACAGAGTGTGCATCGGGTGAGTACCTCAACAGAGTGTGCATCATGCTAGTACCTCAACAGAGTGTGCACCGGGTGAGTGATTCAACAGAGTGTGATTCGGGTGAGTACCTCAACAGAGCGTGCATCATGCTAGTACCTCAACAGAGTGTGCACCGGGTGAGTGATTCAAAGGAGTGTGCATCGGGTGAGTACCTCCTCAACAGAGTGTGCATCATGCTAGTACCTCAACAGAGTGTGCACCGGGTGAGTAACTCAACAGAGTGTGCATCGGGTTTGTAACTCAAGAGACAAATTCACACGGTAATCTGTGTTCACAAAGGCGCTTAAAACAAATTAGAAGGTGCTCTTAGTGCAGCAGCTCTCACACAAAAAATAGGAACTCTTCAAACCTATTACAATTCAATCAGAATAAATACACTATATACACACAGAAATATGCAATAGTGAAAAAATGCATAGCGCTCAACATTTATCACTTACTCCCCAATAATGCTTTCGGGTTTGTAAGGTATCTGGGTAGTCCTTGTTTCAGTCACAATGAATTCCTCAAAGAGAACAAAGAATAGAACAGGGGAAAATCGCCCTGGTGTTGAAATCCTTATGATTAAAATGACAAATATAAACAAAAAGGTGAAGGTTGCTTCTCACCTGGAAAAGAGCCTGTGACTTGGCTCTGAGTGTAATAGCTTGTGAGTCTTGTTAAAGGGATGACTCTTGCCCTCTTTTAGCAGGATAGAAGAAGATGTACCAGGTATATGTATTTAAATTGAATTTATTACATAAACATTAAAAACATCAATAAAATTCATACATTACACTGGTATCTTGTCCAAAACGCGTTTCGCCGACCTCTCTCGCCTTTCTCAATTGGTAACTACTATCCTGCTTAATCCCAGTTAAAATCCCCACCTCTCGTCCTGATTGGAAGAAGCAGATCGTATTTCAGCCAATCACGAACGTTTTTACTTGAAAGTGTAGAAACTACAATGTCAAATACTCTGTCCCTTAATAGTGACGTCATCGCACTCGCACGTATGATCGTGGGCGTGAAGTCACTTCCGGGAATACGAAACACCCCTATTTCACATTATCATATGACGGCCTCCTCTTTGTGACGTCATCACGCACGCAAATGCCGCCGTGTGGGTGGCGTAACTTCCGGAAATCTGAAAGACGGCTATTCACCATACTGTGCAGTACTTCCTTCTTCTTAAGTAATAAGCTCCAAAGTCACTTCCTATGGTTAAAATTAATTGTCCAATCCATCAGACAGTTCGGCCATTTTGTTAGATGGCATTGTACTGGCAACTTGATGTCCGTAAACAGTGTTCATATTATCTTAAAGCTATATGCACATATAGAAACACAAAATAAAAAACAGAATAAAAAAATCAATATAATTAGTCTCTATTCAATACATTACAGATTAATACACCATCTCTTCTTAAAGAACCACATATATAAGAGAAAGTGACAAAAGGTATTAATGATGATTAGACCACAATTTTTAAAAGAATCAAGAGATTACGTGAATTAATACAAATTAAAATTAAAAATATAAATAATAAAATTCAATCAATAATACTGATTAAAATCCAATTTATATTCAAGTAAAATTATTAAAAGTGGCATTATAAAAATAAAATTATAAAAAATGGCATATTTCAAAATCATCATTATGACCACGAGGTCTTAAGACCACAAGGTTCGCGCCCAGCTATGCAAACCTGTTTATGTCCCATTGGGAACAAGAATTTATTTATCAGGACCATAGATGGGATGCGAACCTCGTGACCTATTGCCGTTACATCGACGATATCTTTTTTATTTGGGATGGGGATGAATCATCATTGACATTTTTAGGACACCTTAACACCAACGATTGGGGTATTAAACTTACATGTAATTTTAGTAAACAAGTTGTAGAATTTTTAGATCTCCACATTTATGTTGAGAGAAATGCGCTAAAAACTTGTACCCTCTTTAAGAAGGTGGATGTGAACAGCTACATAGGGGAAAGTAGCTGTCATTTTTCCCCCTGGCTGCTAAATGCTCCCAAGGTGCAGTTACTCAGAATCAAGAGGAATTGTACAGATCAATATAAATTTTATGAACAGTCAGAAAAAATAATTAATGATTTTAAAGGAAAGTGTTATAAAGAAGATCTTCTGGGGAAAGCACTTTCAGAAGTAGAATATAAAGACAGGATGGAATTAATAAAATATAGGGACAAAAAAGAGAATACAGAACCACATAGTTTAAAAATTATTTGCGATTTTAAGCACAGTAGTAGACAACTTAGAAAGACCATTCGGAAATATTGGCCCATATTAAAGAATGATCCGATTTTAAATTCAATACTTCCTAATACACCTGAGATAGTATATAGAGGTGTACCGAACCTTAAAAGCACTTTAGTGAAGAACCACATACCGTCAAGGAAACTGACCAATCAGTTTTTTAAAGAAAAATTTGGCTTCTACGGATTTGGTATGTGTGGAGCCTGTAAGAACTCGAATAATGGTAAGAAATTAGTGAGAAAATTCAGCCATCCACAAGACAAAAGTACAATATTTAAAATTAAACAAGTCATTACGTGTCATACAACAAAAGTAATTTATATGATTACATGTCCCTGCGGGCTAGCATATATAGGGAGAACCACCAGAACCCTTAATACTAGAATTCAGGAACATGTTAGGAACATAAAAAATGTTTTTTTAAAACATAGTGTGTCTCTGCATTTTAAAAATTGTCATAATAGTAATCCAAATTTGATGGAATTTATGGGAATCCAAAAAGTGATTGGAAATTGGAGAGGTGGGGATCCCATAAAATTAATAGGACAAACAGAGATGAAATGGATTTTTAATTTGAACACTATGCAACCTTATGGTCTAAATGATGATTTTGAAATATGCCATTTTTTTATAATTTTACTTGAATATAAATTGGATTTTAATCAGTATTATTGATTGAATTTTATTATTTATATTTTTAATTTTAATTTGTATTAATTCATGTAATCTCTTGATTCTTTTAAAAGTTGTGGTCTAATCATCATTAATACCTTTTGTCACTTTCTCTTATATATGTGGTTCTTTAAGAAGAAATGGTTTATTAATCTGTAATGTATTGAATATAGACTAATTATATTGATTTTTTATTCTGTTTTTTATTTTGTGTTTATATATGTGCATATCGCTTTAAGATAATATGGACACTGTTTACGGACATCAAGTTGCCAGTACAATGCCATCTAACAAAATGGCACGAACTGTCTGATGGATTGGACAATTAATTTTAACCATAGGAAGTGACTTTGGAGCTTATTACTTAAGAAGAAGGAAGTACTGCACAGTATGGTGAATAGCCGTCTCTCAGATTTCCAGAAGTGACGCCACCCACACGGCGGCATTTGCGTGCGTGATGACGTCACAAAGAGGAGGCTGTCATATGATAATGTGAAATAGGGGTGTTTCGTATTCCCGGAAGTGACGTCACGCGCGCGATCATACGTGCGAGCGCGATGACGTCACTATTAAGGGACAGAGTATTTGACATTGTAGTTTCTACACTTTCAAGTAAAAACGTTCGTTATTGGCTGAAATTCCATCTGCATCTTCCAATCAGGACGAAAGGTGGGGATTTTAACTGGGATTAAGCAGGATAGTAGTTACCAATTGAGAAAGCCGAGAGAGGTCGGCGAAACGCGTTTTGGACAAGATACCAGTGTAATGTATGAATTTTATTGATGTTTTTTTTTAATGTTTATGTAAAAAATTCAATTTTAATACATATACCTGGTACATCTTCTATCCTGCTAAAAGAGGGCAAGAGTCATCCCTTTAACAAGACTCACAATCTATTATACTCAGAGCCAAGTCACAGGCTCTTTTCCAGGTGAGAAGCAACCTTCACCTTTTTGTTTATATTTGTCATTTTAATCATAAGGATTTCAACACCAGGGCGATTTTCCCCTGTTCTATTCTTTGTTCTCTTTGAGGAATTCATTGTGACTGAAACAAGGACTACCCAGATACCTTACAAACCCGAAAGCATTATTGGGGAGTAAGTGATAAATGTTGAGCGCTATGCATTTTTTCACTATTGCATATTTTTGTGTGTATATAGTGTATTTATTGTAACTCAACAGAGTGTGCATCAGGTGAGTAACTCAACAGAGTGTGCATCGGGTGAGTGATTCAAAGGAGTGTGCATCGGGTGAGTGATTCAAAGGAGTGTGCATTGGGTGAGTGATTCAAAGGAGTGTGCATCGGGTGAGTAACTCAACAGAGTGTGCATCGGGTGAGTAAGTCAACAGAATGTGCATCGGATGAGTACCTCAACAGAGTGTGCATTAGGTGAGTAACTCTACAGAGTGTGCACTGGATGAGTACGTTAACACAGTGTGCAGCAAATAAGTAATTCAACAAATTTAATTGTGAAGTTTCATATTTCAGTTCGGAAACCCATAAAAAAAACCTGTATATTAACACAAAGAGGTCACCGCTGATCATGCCACCTGACTGAACCTAGTGATATTAATGGGAATCAAAGTGCATGCAAACTGCTTCTATCTGCCCATTAAGAACTCTGAACCTAACTGCACTCGCTGCATTCGTATAGGAAATGAGTCTGCTGTTTGATCTGAACAAATGCCCCTAAACCGAGTTACAAAGACAAAATTCACTTTCCCACGGTTTGGAATTTCAATAACTGTTTAATGATTTAATGATAAAATAAGTTCACAGCAAATAGCTCGTTTTCATTAAGAAATGACATTCTCTTAGTCTAGTGAATAAGCATTTAAAGTATTTCAGACTTTGGCTCTGATACAGAGAAAACATTCTTTGAGAATGTGAATGGTAACGTTAGTAGACTGTTTGTTATCCTTGCAATGAGTGGAGGGAAGGTTATTCAAACCATGAGTTTAGAACTTGTTCTGCGGGTCCTAGGTCCACGTGGACATCTAATCTGCAGCTTTCTGTTCTGTTTCATTTTGCATTCTGATTGCCTCTCTTGAAGCTCTCGGTCCTGCCAAAATTCTCCGTTAATGGACTGTCATAGCAACTAATGTTTGTCTTGGAATGAGAAGGAATACAGAAATGTTGACTTTGGGACAAACAACCAATCAATAGTTAATACGTAAT